AGACTATGTATACAGATTAATCTTCTATAATTTAAAATATTGCTAACTATTAAAGAAAAGTGAACTAAATTAAAGCCTGTTTTACATGAATGCCGTGTCGGAATTAATTAACAATCGTCGGAAATTAGTCAGAGATGTTGCTTGCCTAGCAGCTGAGGGTAGACTGTTCCAGAGGACTGCACCACTATAGCCAAGGCTATTTTTGTAATGGTTAGTACGTGGCAAGGGAATAGCAAGCTTGCTATTAGAATTGTGCAAATTGTAAGAAGTAATCACATCACTCCGCTGAATGAATTTCGAGGACAAATAATTGGGTGCGAGGCCTACAACAGACCTCAAAACCCGTGGAAACAAGAAGAACAATAATGAAAGGAACACGGAATATCGGTCTATTCTATAACCTTTCATGCTTCTTTAAACTGATCTTCTATTTTGCCGATTTCATACACGCTTCTCTCATAGCATGAGCTCCAGCTGCCCTTGATGAGACTTGAAGTAAAAGTCTTTTGAAGTTAAATGCGTCATCTTCAAGGCTCCCGTTCCATTAGGCCTATGTTCTAAACTGCAGCTGTTCTCATGTGTTCTAGCTGCACCCTGTAGTGAGCACTTTCTGTTCCTTCCCATGATAAGCCAAGACAAAAAGGCATAATGTCACTTAAGAGTAACCACCGCGATGAATCTCGATCCCAATAAACTGCCCCTTGTGATCCGTTCCTTTTACCAACATTTGAAAGTCGAAAAATGTCGTAAAAATGCCTGTCAAATCGACTGGAAAAACACCGACAGTTTGCCAGTCAGTGATCTAGTGTAACTCAGTTGAAACAGTATCTTAAAAGTTTCGAGTCAAGTACATAAGATGACTTGATTCTGATATACGAAAATTCCTAATAGCATAAGACAGAAAGCCTATGGGTTGTACGAGCCTTCTTACAAGGAGGGGAGGAGTGCGTAACGGGTTAAAAGAATGCCACCGTAGGAGTTCACATTGTCCACGGATGGCTTGTCAAAAGATTTGCATATTTTTCAGGCAAAATTTAGCTTTGAAATGGAGGGCTGAGTTGTTTTGAATAAAGTCAAGTTATTCCTTCAGTCATTTCTGTATCCCCGATATATGATAAAATAATTTGTCTTTTTAAACGCTTACAAAAATGGACATTTTAGTTTTCTTCACCAGGGATATAGATTTTTTATATATTGTAACTGCACAGATAGCCTCAATAATCAATGTTGTGCCCAATATGTTTAGAAACCATATCGTGCAGTTTGAGACTCTTTAAAAATCTTAGTAGGATCATCTATGTCTAAGGCAGCGCGAAGAAAACAACAATTCAACTTATTGAAAATAACTAGTTCAGGGAAAACGGCTACAAATGTTTGGATCCCCGGCTTACCATCTAATTTTGAATTTTATTCGATCTACAAAGAAAAGCAATACATATTTTCCTTTCCTGAAATATAACAGATACAACGATTCATTAGATTCAGTCGGGATATAAACTGAAGCTGAATTATAATACTTTAAGTCTTACCTACTTCCTATGACGGACGAACCCTTCTATGACGGATGGAAAAATCCGAAACTCAGGTCAGTTAGCCACAGAGTAGTACCCCAAAATTAACTTGTCACTCGGCGAACTAAAAATAAATGTCGCTTAAACGGTGCTCAATTCTCTTACAAACAACAAAAAATTAAGAAAGCGTACAAGTTTCCTTGAAGCGGTGTATAAGTCTTTCTAAGAACTAACATTTATCATCAGTTTTAATATCAACAGGGAACAGATTAAGACCTCCGTGATTCTCGAGTTACTCGGCCTCGTCCTTGAGGTTAAATGTGGGTAAATCATCAAGTAAACCGTCTAAATCATCTCCTTTCTTGACTTCTGTCATTTTCGTAAAATGCTCGTCGCTGATCTGTACGGGCTTTATCAACTTTTTCAGCAGCTTGGTGCATTCTCCATCTGGATGTTCTGCCGCAGAAGACTCCCAAGTAATTTCACGCACGATGCAGGTGACATGAATGTAGCTATTGAATTGTTGCGCTCCCGTTGGCGTGGCAGTAAATGTTGTCGTTATCTCAACAACCTCAGTGAAGTTTCCCCTGAAGATAAGCATCATACTGGGCATGCTAACTTGCCTATTTAAGTCGACTTGTCTTACTTCATACTCTATCCGAAAGTGTGGGTAGATATGATCGTATTTGCTCCAATAACGTCTTGCTGCATTCGCGTCATTTGCAAGATGAAAAAGTGGTTCGAGTATGACCTGGAAATGTAGCTTTCCTGTGTTTCTGCGATAAGTGTTGCTACCCAAAGCCGGCCATAAATTCTCTGGGACACCGGTTGCCTTTAGCATGCACATACGTACAACTGCCGATGCCGTTCGACCGAATGCTGAGTTGGCGGATGCTTCTTGTTGTCCACCAAAATTCCCGGCTTCATTGTTGCTCTCTATGTTTTCAAGACTTGTTGTTTGGGCGCGCGTCTCCTGCAGTCGCTCTTGATTCTTTAGTTCGCGTAGACACTGAAGGACTACGTTGAATGAAGGGTCCGTTTGTACAAAAATGGTCTCTTGATCCATGCTGCATCTGGGCCTTGCTCGTACTTCGAATTTCCCTGGTCCGAGACGTTTTTCTTGATTTTTCTTCTTTTCCGGAACCGGCGAACGGCGAGTCGAGAAGCGGCGGGAATGAAAAACCTGTGGTTACCTTGGACTTGAATTTCACTTTTATTTAGACGCCAGCCGTCAAACGCGTCTAATTGATAATTATAAAAGGGACCTATGGCAACTTAGCAATCACGTGCTTATCAGCCGCTAATGTTTCCAGACAAACAATATTCTTTTGCTTTTCGAGACACCCATCTTGCGACTTTGGTGATGTGGCAACGCGTGTTTCGAGGCGCAAGTGAGTTCAAAGTACGGAACTTGATATAGTGAACGGGTCATTTTGCAATTTATGTGCGTTGGCTGTTGGGCTGGCGTTACATATCTTCGCTACACACTGCTGACGAGTCCCAAGAAGTGCGAAACAGCTGTCCACTGTTGCGATCCTACTTTATCGGTTCTTGTCATGTTGGTGTCTCGAAACGTTTTTCACGTAGTATCAGCCTTGCAGTCTATTGTTTGACTTCATATATTCTTTTGGCTGATCAGATCTCTTGTAGATCCCCGATCCTACGTTGGCAGCGTTTATCGTATGCGGTCTCTTGCAGTTTCTGGTTTCTCATTTATATATTTTCGGACCGTAGGTCTTTTCAGATCCGATACGCTGCGTTTTTTAAGCATGGTACTGGCCATGCGGTTGAATGTTTAAATGTTTAGGCTGGCCTTGNCCTGGACAAAATCAAAGCCCGGAACAAGAAATTTGATTGTGCGCATGCGTTCAAGTTCAACAACAGTTTCTAAACTATACGTAGAGAGGGTAACCGCTGTAGATAATGCTGGCTCACCTTCCGATTTATTGGTCCAAAAAATAGTATCGCGGCCTCTGCCAACGACATGGTCTCCATCGATATTTTTGCCATTATAAATGATTCATTTGAGGGGCTTATTCACAACCGGCGGTTAATCGAGAAAACACAGCAGTTGTTACATAATGCTAGGAAACTTTAATGAATCACATTTTCAAAAAGTCAGCAAAAACACGGAGCTCTTTCTCCGAGGCTCCGTCAACACCGCGCTGGAGAAATTTGTAAACGCTGCTTTTTTTTTTCTATGGTTAGGCCTACCGTCTACACTAATTCGTCACAACAAATGAGAAACCGTATTTTCGGACCGTAGGTCTTTTTAGATCCGATACCCTGCGTTTTTTGAGCATGGTACTGGCCATGCGGTTGAATGTTTAAATGTTTAGGCTGGCCTTGTCCAGCCACATTTATTCTTTTGCTTTTCGAGACACCAATCTTGATACTTTGTCTCCTTGCGCCCCGAAACATGTGATGTGGCAACGCGTGTTTCGGGGCGCAAGTGAGTTCAAAG